AGCTTAATTTCTCTGTATGTTGTTTTCTTCATTTATTTTATTAAAGTAGCTGTCTCGCCTTACTGAGAAGCCGTCTTAGTAAAGTGTCACCTTCTGCTTGAGTTATGTTGTAAAAAGAAACTGTAATGTCTGGCAGGCATTTCACATCCTTAAATTTGGTGCAATCCTAACACATATATAGAACTGAGTGAAGCAGAAAAATAACATCTCAGAGGTGACACCATCAGGAGTCAGGACTGCATGATGCTACCCACGCTGGGACTCTGAAGTTGCTTATAGCTGAGGAACCCAGCCTTTCACCAGAGATGGGCTCTGGGGCTACCAGGAAGCTCTTCTGACCTGAGTCACCTCAGAAACATGGTGCAAGAGTTGACAATGTTCACGGGGACCCACCACCTTGGGCACAGATTTCACATCACCCTGTCGTTCATGGTCATGCCTTGTGTTTGAATGGACGTTTCCAAAGGATGGCAGCAGGGACCTGGTTGTGAAATACTCTTTTGATACCCAACCACTGTTGAGCAGGGCCACAGGAAGGTCCTACTTCCACCCAAAATACATTGGAAATCGGTCTCTGGCCTGGCAGTCACAATGTGCCCCAGAGTACCTTGCTGGCCCCTTGGCTTCAGATGTTGTGTAGAAAATTTATCAGCCTGGCTGCCAAAGTAGCCCTGTAGCAAAACAATAGTAAAACAGGAATCTTGTTTATCCTGTGTTTTTTTACTGGATTCAAGGCTTTAGTGGTCTGTTATTTAAGTCTGCAGCCTCTGCAACAGAATTGCTGGAAGCTCTTTTCTGACACCAAGGTCTCCAACTGCAGCAGCCTCCAGACCAGAGTGTCTGGGCAAGCCTTTCTGGCAGGAATTCTCCCTGTAGGAATTCCAGGGAATTCTCCCTGTAAGTAAGGAAAAGAACAGTGAAACTGACTGGAAAAGGTGAAAAATGGCTTGGCTACCAGATCTTGTTCCTGTTGCTATTTGGCTATGCTGTGCCAGCCAGTGTATTTGCTTTCTGCATCCTCAAATGTGGTTTTCCTTTCTATTTTCCAAAACAGTTCTGAGAAAAGCTTCTTTGTTTTCCCAGGGTATCAAAGAACAAGAATTTTATTTTCCCTTCTTTTCACAGCATCCCAACTATTCTGATATAAAGGAAAAAGATCTGGATTTAAGAAGGATCACCCTCTAGATGTACAGGTGACCCAGGCTAGAATCACCCTACAATTAGTCTCACCTTTGGTGGAGAAATTAGTGTGGAGGATCTGTAACATTCCAGATATCTGCTGTTCCTCCAGAGGAAATAGGGAAAGAAGTGGTAGAGAAGGTGAGTGCAAATGCAGACAGAATAATCCTGACTTGCACTGGGAAATCACCTGTTGAATAGGTGTTGTGGGAGATTTCCTTCTTCAGGAGGGAGCCTGACTGGCTGCAGGAGCACTGAGCCCTGGTTCTGCTGTGTCACAGCTCTGCTGTCCTCCAGAAAAATCTTTGCTATCCCTGGGGCCGTATTCTTCAGCAAATATAACAGGAGCTGCCATGACAACCTCTTGTAAATAAAAGTGGATTGAAAACAAAATAAATCTGCAGCGGCTTTGTGGCTGTAAAGTGAATCTAAACTGCTCAAGAGGTCATTTTTTGTAGCTGGAGTGGCAGGAGTGGTGTCTGGCTGTCAGGTGGTGCCGAGCGATGAAAGGGCTGACTGGGGAGCACAAGCGTGGCAGGAAAGCTGACAAAACTTTGCAAAACAGCCTTTTCCTACTGTTAATTTCAGGTTAACAGCACCAAGAGCTGCCTTTGCTCCTTACGAGGGTGATCACAGACTGTGGTCTCTGCAGAAGTTGTCTATCCAAGGATACAGTGCAGGAGTGATGGACACAGGGCGCGGTGCCGTTTGTTCTTCAGCCAGGGCTCTGCAGTCTGAAGGATTCTTCCTCATACCAGGATGCCACTGGTCGCCTTTGCTGAAAGTTTTAAAGGTCTCTCCAGAACCATGTGGTTGTCCAGGGTGCTTATTCCAAGTGCAGCACAGCAGAGCTGGAGAGCAAGACAGCTGTCTAAGAACAGTTTCAATTCCCGGTTAAGGGCAGAGGGAGCCTTCAGAGTGTATCTGATCAGAGCAGTCAGATCTGTGACAAAGGCAAGGGCTGCACCACTGGCCTGCCAAGAGTTCTGTGGTGTTTTGCAACACTTTTGGAGCAGTTTCTATTTTTATTTTTTTTACGAGTTACTGTATCATCAACTACATCATCACACGTGCTTCTGGATGACGAGGAACGTACGAAACATTGATATCTGTCTATATTCTGCAGAGATATGTGTAAAGGGAGAATAAGCACCTAATATTTCCTTGCTTCACCAACAACTTGGAATTGAGACAGCACTAAAGCCTGGCACTTGATATATGTATTTTTTCCTTCTGTAAATGGATACCTTCACATATAGAATCCTGTGAAGAACTGAAAGATGAAAATATTGTTAGGTAGTAGCTACAATTATGGACTTTATCACAGGACTAAAAGTACAACTATTGTCCATTTTGAAACATTCTGCAGCCCTGTATTAACAAAGAAAGATCTCATGCTGCCCAGAAAGCTCTGGCTCCAGTTATTTCTGCTTAGAAGTAAAGAACTGTTCTGGATGTGGAGACAGATGAAGTTAGCATACCTCCGTGATACCTGAGAGTTACAAATTAGAATAGAGTCATCAGATGGGTTTCATGATACTTTTAGACTTTAGAATATATATATATGTGTGTGTGTGTGTGTGTGTGTGTGATTTTATGCTTGGAATTGTGACTGAGAACTGAAATTTAGCTCCTAGAAAAATAGTTGTACCTACCTACCCCCTGCTGGGTTTAAAGGTTTCTGCTCAAAAAAAGAACTTATGGTTTCGTTCCTCTCAGTTCCAGATTTTCTGAACAGCTTTTTTGACCCTGATTACAAGATATATGTCCCCTTAAACCCAGTTCCTTCCATCCAGTCTCCAGCCTTCCCAAACAGCCAGTTTTCTCCCTGGAAGCTACACTAAATAGTAATGTAGGGATGCTAAGACATGGAGCTCCAAGGAGGTTATTTGCTTGATTTATTCTGTGGAAAATGACTTAGCATACATCAGATTCCAGCTTCTGCACTACCGAAGATGGGTAGAGGAAAATGTTGGTAAATCCTTTGGCTAAATTAAAGTAAGCACAAGGGGATATGTTCTTGTGTAACTTTCCATTAGGCTCTTTAACTTCTTCACAGAGATTCTTCACTTAAGTCCTTCAGTAACTTAAGAAGTAATAACAATAATAATAATAATAAGCTGTTTATTGACAGTGTTTATAAATGCTATTTATGGCTGGATAGTTTTTATATGGAGTAAGTAATTTTAATCCTAAATAATTATGAGAATAAGCAAATTAATACAGAAGTTTTTCTGTAAGGTCCTGTAATGCCTGATTCAGCCTCAGTCAAATTTTGATAAGAGTGAAAATCTAAACCAAAAAAATTGCCTCTTCTTTTGGTTTTGAGGTGTTTCCCTATTTTTTTAGTTGCAAACAAAGGTGATGTGAAATACAGATGTCAAAGCATGCTGATGAGGGTGATCTTATGTAGTTGAGCTGTTGTAGATAGTCCCTATTGAATGTGCATGGATAAAGCTGGAAACAGATGAATTTGTCATGAATACTTTGGTTTGGGGCCTAATGATTTCGGGCCAGCTTGGCCAAGCCTGGCTGCTGCTTTTTTTTTTCCTTTTCAGCTTGGCATGAATTACTCCCATGTGTTTCAGTTCCAGTAATTCAATATTTTGTTCCTTATTTTTGTTGTTCAATTATGTAACCAGAATATTTTCGAACACTTGTAAGGATTATGCCTAAATTATACACATTTTTGAGAATATTTTGGATTTAGTATGATTACACAATGGGATGTGATTAGACCTGGGGCTGCTCTGAGTTCTGAAGACAAGCAAGCCCTGAAGACTTCCTGGACGGTGCTAATTTTTAATTAAGCTCTATTTGATCACAAATTAGGTTTATGTGAAATTGCTATTTATTTATGTTTTGAACTCTTTTAAGTGCACGCAGATGTGGTGGTAAAGAAGCACTGAATCATTACATGGAAAGGGTGATGCCTCCCATGTGGGAGGTTCTGTGTTGGGAAGGTATTCCTGACATTTAGAAGATGATTTAGGACCCAAGACTCAGTTCTTCAGCACACAGCATTAGGCAACCTCATGCTTTTGGTCACAGAATTGCTCATTATCTACTTTTCTGATCAAACAGATGCTAAACTTGACACTAACATAATTTCCTCATGCACGTAGAAAGGAGCTCTAAAAACCCTGTGGCTGGAACACGAAGCAGCATAAACAGAACAGACGGCAGGAGGTGGAATATAATTGCAGTTTGTTTTTGTTAGTTAAAGATGAGCATGTGTGCTTTTCTTATGGCTTTGTTGTCTTTAGTCCTGCAGAATTGGCTGCTCCTCTCTCACTTGTGCAAGTAAATTGGTTATTTCCTCCCCAGGCACCGTGGCACAGTTTTCTCCCTCTTTGTTATATATTTTACGTGTTTCTCAGAACATCAGTGTATTCTCGTTCAGGTTGTGTTTGTTGCTATAAATACTCTTTAAGATCATACATCCCACTAAAGACAAGGCAGGCATGTGCTGAGCAAGTGGCTGTATTTAAACTGCAATTTCCTGACAATTTTTCTGTGGCATTTGGGTACCTCCCCCTGAAAGTTTTAACGCAGGACTTTTTCCCTCGGCTGCAGGTGGTTTTTGATGATGATGTAGTGCCAGCACTGCTAAGGGCTCCCTGTTCACTTGTAACTCACATCTGCCATTGGTTTCAGCCATGGAGAGCAATCAGGGTCCGTGTTATTGCTTGCCAGCAATTGCTGTGGGTAGAGCAGTGGGCACTTTGGGAATAGATCCCTGGGCTACAGTCATGGGATGCTCTGATGGAAGGAAGAAGACGTGAATAAAGGACATCAGTTTTTCTTCTCTGTCCTTGCAGGATCTCAGCTCATTTGCCATGCCATTCTTGGACGGTGATGTGGAGAGCGCAGACAAAAATGCTTCTCGCAAGGTAGGATATACCCAAAGCTTCACCTTCGCTGTAGTGGTTGAATCCCCTGGTGGTAAACTCAATTTATCAGGCTTAAAAAGTCCTGGAATGTTCATCTTCCCTGCCATACCATCAACCTGTTGCGAGTGATGCACTAAATCAAATATGGTGACTTTTGCAGGCCTTACCATGGCAGTGCTTTTGCAGTATAACCTGTAAAGGATGAGAACTGCTGGTGGTATTGTAAATACTGCAGATGTTGTGTGTAACACTGTTGTAAACCAATGAAGTGATGTTGCATAACTGTATTCTCAGGAATATAGTTAGCTAACAAGGTTTATGGTGTTGCTACAGAAATACAGTGCCCAAATAAGTATCTGTGGCAGGTTTTCCTGGAATTGCCTCCTGGTGGTTACTCCCTGTCTACCGAGGCTTTAAGGGCTCAGTGTCCTTGATCTATCTGTCCTTGGCATTGGCAAAATGAGCTGCCTTGATTTGCTGAAGCTGTAGTGGTAGAGTCTTCCCGTAAACAAGGTGGAAAGTTTTCTCCTCGATTTGGGATTAACTCAAGGTTATCCATCCCGAGGCATCGATTTGTTTCTCTGATGGCCTGTTATTAAATTAAGCCAATACAGTCACGGAGTTTGCTTTCTTTAAAAATGATCAGGGGAGCATATTCAATGGATGACATTAGGGATGGTTATACAGTGCCTACACAATCTCCAAAGCAATAAAAAACTGTGGGTGGGATCTGTCATCTCCAGGTCACAGCCTCCTCATTTTCACAAAGCATTGAAGTGCAAGCTGGTCTGCTGAATGTGAGCCTCCTACCACCCTGGCAAAGAGGGATACACCTCCAAATAGTACACAACCCCAAAAGCTGATCTTTAGCTACACAGCAGGCCAGTTGGACTTGTCACAGTATTTACAAGGCTATGGACCTCCATAGGGACTAAACCTGCTGCAGGCTTATTTGTCAAAGAGTCTGCAGTTATAATTCAAGGCAGGAGAAGCAATAAATACTTCCTCAGTGAAGCTGATCTGCATCTAGAACAATAATAACTGAGCTCTGTTGACTCGTGTTGACAGCACGAGTTTCTATTCCTTTGCACCTCTCAGCAAAGGACAGATGTTCAAAACATTTCTGCAATCCATCAGTAATTGAATGTGTTTACAACACTGGCCTTGTTCTTTTCTGTGTTGGACCTTTTAAGACTGACGTAGGAGTCGCTGATGCAGGGGGACTCTCATAGATGCCAGGGAAATTAAAATGTACAGTGTTACCAAAAGGTGCCTGTTTCAAGGGTTTGAATAAAATGAACAATGTGACGTTTTTGGAAGGGGAAGTCATGCTGGAAGAAAGCAGGGGTTTCTAGCTGAAACTTGATTTTTTCCATTTATCACCTCCTTTTCACAAAGAAAGGTGAGAAAGCTGCATGAAGCTCAGTCATGAGGAAAAAATGTGCCAAAGCTAATCATGCTTATGTGCAGTATTACATGGTATTGTTTAATGACTTCCACTCCACCATTTCTGAATCCCATGTTTTTCTTCTCACTGGCCTTAGGAGTTTACTTTGATGATTGCTTGTCTTGGGAGAACTGGAAGAATGTTTCAGTAGTTGCCTCTTTTTGTAGCTTCAGTAAATGCTGGTTTGTTTTTTTTCCCCCTACTTGGGTCAAGTTCTGCTTATGGAACTGCAGTTAACTTTGGAATGGTCATGCAATTGGGGCTTAACATCTGAAACTGCATTTTTAACTGACCTCTTCAATGGAGTGTGTAAGACCCAAGAGTTTTTTCTAACGCTGTTCTTGGAGCTCTGTTGAACACGTGCAACAAAGTGGTGAGAAACAGTCTGACAGTGCCCAGATTTTGATAAGAAAGAGGTCATCTAATAAAATTCATTGCCACACATCTCATCCTATATATTGTTTTCCTCAATATGAAGTATGGGATCTTTGCTGCTAGTGAATGATGAGCAGCATCAGACTGCAGTATTTATTTAATTCTAAATACAAGCTTGCCAGTCCCTACTGCCGATACATAAAAAAATCCCCAAGTTACTCTTCCCTTTCAAGTGAGAGGGTTTTTCTTAGTTCAAGTTTGAAATCACAGTATGGTGTGTAACTTCCGTCTATTAAAAGTCAGTATTTCATCAGTAGTGTGGCTTTTCCATTCACTTGTCATGCTGGAGACAGGCAATTCATCAGGGATTTCTCTCTTCCTGCACTTAACTCTTCTGTTAAGTTAGTGTTGATCTATAGCCTGGGCTATAGATCAAGGTAGACAAGAGCAGTTCCCAGCCCATCTTTCCGATCTGCCATTAATTTAATCCTCCTGTTCTTTGTGAAAGGCTTTTAGAAACCGAATTAACATTTTTCACAGAGATCCTCAGCACTTTACCATGCAAGTGTCCCTCAATCATTATCCTGTGACAACAATCCTCATTACACAGCTAGGAAATTCAAGTCTAGAATTATTTGTTCAGGTTCATGTAGGAATTTTTTGGCAGTGGTGGCAATGTGACACACATTTTCTGAAGTTTAGCCTTAATCACTTCTCATTAATATGTCTACTGTTATAAATGATGTGTTCTTCTTTCCTTTATGGCTAATGGCAGGAAGAGGATAGGGATAGTTTTCACCCTTCTCTGTTGAAGATGGAGAATATAATACTATGAAGAATCTTGTGTAAAAGTTTTTGGCATGGTGTGATGGAGAAAGGTGCCTGTGGCAGGTATTTTGGCTTTTGTTATGGGAAGAGGGGAAGTTTAGAGACCTGGAAAATCACGAGTGATGGGGAGCATCATTCAGAAATAATTCTGGTACAGTATGGCAACTCAGCAGTCAGGGATGAGTGCCTCTCTGTACCTAAATTGTTCTATCAATTTTAGAGGTCTTAACACCTTGAATGCTTAAAGATCTTTCATCCAAAATGTAGGTTAAAGGACAAGGTGTGGAAATTATAGGAAAATGAGAACCATTGCTTTCAGCTTAATGCTCAGGGTTGTGTAGAAAGAAGAAAATGACAGAAGAAGAAACTTGTCCACAGGGGAGCCAGCTAGCAAATTATAGATGGAGGAGGGAAGAGGAGGAAGAAAAGAAGTTTGAAGAATAATATTGATCCATTCCTTTATGGAAATGACAGAATTGTCATAAAAATATAAACAAAAGCTTGGAAAAGAAGTATGCATTACAAATTATTTTGTCTATGTGGGGAAAAAGCTGATGAGATGTTTATCTTAGATGAAAGAGGTGTCATTAATAACTTAAATGTCCAAAATGTTAAAGCAAGATATTTTAAAATTAAATCTAAGCAACTCTAATAAAACACTCTTGAATGAGTTGACAGAGTTTTCCTCTGCCTAGTGTTGATTTTGAATAAATCTTGGAGCAGAGATGAAGTTCCAAAAGACAACCAAAAAAGCAATTACTGTGTTAATATTTGTGATGTTTGCAATTAGGATAATGTGCAGGTTTGTCAAACATTAGTCCTGGGCAAAACACTGAAATAGCTCTTGTTGGATAGTTAATGATGCTGTTATAATAGACTCATTTGGACTGGAATTAATTGTGAATGGTTCTTATTGAACAAATCTGGGGGTTTAAATGGATTATAAATTCGTTTGAGAAATGTCATAGTGTTGGTGTCATGTATATAGAAAAGTAGCACAAGTCATTTTGATTTAAGAAATGGGAATGATACTGAATAAACATGGAGCCTATTAAATGAAAAACCTGGCTGCTAAAATAAATGGGGACTCACCAGTGGAAAATTTTGTTTCTAGGCAGGCAAAACATTCTGTTGCTATACTATATCATACTTTATCAGTGACTTGAAAGATAGACAGACTCATTACTGATAAAATTTGTAGTTCATACAAAAAATGAGAGGGGGGAGACAGTGGTAAATTTGAGCAAGAAAGTCTCTGATGCAGAATTGCCTGAGTCCCTTAAAACACATTTTGCAAACTAACAGCCCACCTCAATTTGGCCAACTTGGGATCAGGTACACTCAGGCACAAATAATGCAGATTTTTGGGGAGTCTTTTATAAAGCCTTGGTTATATTTTAAAAAATAGCTGTAGGTGGTCAGCTATAACACGAACTCAGGATGTGACTTGATGGTTAAAGGATTGATTTGGGTTCTGGACATATGATCAGATCAGACTTTGTCGGAGAAGTGACCCCAATATTGAAGGACTCCAAGTAGTGTTTTCTCCTGCTGCTTGTCCCTGGACTGGTTTTGTTTGTCCAGCGACTCATGGGAATGGCACAAGCAACCCCTGGAACAGGGAGGAGAAGAAAAAAAAAGCCATTTTCAGCCTCCCTTTCACTGGATAATGAATCTCCTTTTGATTTATTTTTTCACAGTATTTAATTGTCCGTTTCTTTATGAGCAGCAAGGATAGGGAGCGTGTCCTGGTAGTACCACAGCCTTGGCAGAGGGCACCTGCAGTGGGATCAGGGAGCCTCAGGGCAAGGGCATGTAGGACAACCACTGCACTGTCATGTGTGTGGCTCCTCCCCATCCACTGCTTTAAAATAAAGGCAGGTAGGGGTTAGGAAGTGGACAGGGAGCCAGCACTGCTTTCACCTTTCCTGACTCCTGCTTCTGCCTTTGAGCAGCCCTGCTCACTGCTGGAAGCCTTCCCCTGACCGTGTGGACAGCAATGCAGAGCTCTCAGAGCCTGCCAGTGCAGCCAGCCAGCCTCATCCCATTGTATTGTAATTTGGGAAAGTGTCACTGTACTTTAGTTTTGGGAAGTGACATCTCTGACCCTGTAAAACACGTTGTCATCTCAATTGTTACTGCTCATGCGGAACCAAGGGAACTGGTGGTGCTGAATGTGACCACATGGTGCCTGGGAGAGTAAGTCCTTCATTACCTTTCAGCCTAATGAAGTCAGCTCTTGTGCCTCTGTGAGCTCTTTTATTCCAGCAGAATGAGAGAATCATCCAATTAACTTTATCAAAGGGCTTTTTTACTGAGATTCAGTGGAAGGGCAGGAAACAAGTGTAGA